TTCCACTATATATGCCCTGTTTCTAGCTTTGTTTTGGATACAGACATGTACCTCAGCTTTTGGAGAGGCTCTTCCTGCAGAAGGACCTGGAAAACCAATGTTTTGCAAGCTGTTTCAGATACTAAAGAGGGTTTATGCTGGCCTGTAGACTATTTTAACGATTTTGAGCCTAGCTCAGGACAGTGAATAATTCGTATTTCGTTTGATGTTTAACTGATTTGGTCACTGTTTTTTGTTGCTTAGATGTCTTTCTGCTTACTGGAATTCTGAATATCAAACGTACTACCACAGATTCTTAAAAAGATATTATGATTAATATAAGCTAATTTACCTTTTTTCCTTCTCTAAAGCAGCACAAATAACCCACAACACTGATTACTTAAATTGGTAGAATTGGATTATATCAGGACCATTTTTCTCCATTAAGCTATATGTGTGTGTGTGTGCTCTAACATACCTAGTTAGGATTGTCAAGGCAGCAAGTAATTAAATGATTTTACTTAGATACTGCAGCTAAATTGAATGTCTAACATAGAACAGCTATGAAATAGTTATTTTAAATGATTTTTCTCTGTAATCTTTTCCTTATCTTTTCCTTAGAAAAGGGATTTTTCCTCAGAACGGAATTTCATACCTAATGAATATTGCATTTTTTCCTCTTCCACTATGTACAGATGTTTTGGACTGCTCTAAGGTCTTCACAGTTTGCATTTCTCCTATTTTTGACTGTAGTGAACTGTCTGTATACAGATTATTCTACTCCTAAAACTTGTTCATTTTCATTCAGAAATTCATAATGCAGTTATTAACTGAGATTTCCACACAGAGTTATTGAATCATCTTGGTAAGCTTGGTTTATGCCTAGATGCTGTGACATGAATGCACATTGTCTTGAGTTAGTCTATTAGTTTAGCATAGTGCTAAATAATAGCTCATTGCAGCTCCCCTAACAAGTCGGCCTGCGTAGTTTAAGTATCACTATGCCAAAATAAATAGGAAGAAATATTCTTGTACCAAAATATCTATAGTTTAAAAGTTTTTGTCCATTAACACTAACATTCATAGACTTTGTCTAGATGAGTGAATCCACTGAGGTGACTGAAATTGCTCATTCAAAACAAATTATGGACCTATGTCCATAATTACAATAAAAGTTTTAAAACTGTTACCCAAAGAAGAAATCCCATTTCCAGACAAGGTTCTGACCACTTCAGCAATGAAAGCAAATCAAAGCATAACAACATTTCCCTGAAGGAACCCCACTCTGCTAAACAAAAAGACAAATTTTCAAAACAATAATTTTATTTTGTAATAGATATTAACAAAAAGTAAAGATTTGAAAATTTTATTTAGTATGTCTGGGAAGAAGATCATTTTCCTGTTTAACACCTATAAGAAATGGCATATATTTTATGGAAGATATATTTTCATGATTCAACTTACGTTTTGGATGTCATTTCCAAATGACAAGTATCTCGGCTATTTACATTTGTGTGTCTCAATTCATACTTTAGTTTATCTGCAGTGTGTTCATCTTTTTAAAGCACTTATTTTTGGCATTTATCAATATTTGTGTATATCCAAGCAGAAATCCTGTCCAAATAATGTTCAAGGATAGTTCACAGTTACAGCTGAGATCCTGTACAAAACTGATTATGGATAAATATTCCATAGATATGTACAAACTTGGGGTAAAAAAAAAAAAAAAAACACACACTGAGAGTGGCAGATTCATAAAGTCTAAATACTAACTAAATCATATACCTTCACAAACCATAACATATATATATAATTTTTTAAATTATTATTCTTTGATCATGAACAAGAGAAATGATAATGATATATTTTTAATTTAACAGAAACAAAAACAAAATCTGATTTCTATCCTAATAACACCTGTTGAAAGATGATCCACACTTCTGTATAGGATGTGAGATGAAAACTTCAGTATTTGATGTCATTATCAAAGAACAGAACAGTACTTAGCATCCTTTGGCTAAATAAGGTTTTCTTTCCAGTGAATTATAAATTTATTTTGCAAATGTATTTTTATATATGTTTTCATATGGAAATATCAAAGCCAGTTACCTATTCAATGGAAATATATATGATATACACATGCTTATACACTATTGGTGCCAAATTTTGCTCTTTAGCACGCATGCATAACTCCTAATAAAATCAGTAGGGATTTGAATACTCTTGTATTTAAATGAAGAATGTACATTTTGAATTGCTATATTTCTGTTTATTTTTTCAGACTATGTGTACGTAATCAGATCGTTTTGCAAATAGGTGTGCATCTAATTGTTATTTCTTAAGAGTCCAAATTGTGATCTGGCTATTGAGTATGCAGGCAAGGAAAAGGCAGGCCTTTTGGCTCGAGTGTGTTACCTATAGTTTGACAACAGTAAATCAACAGGAAATAGAGAAAGTTACCTTCCCCCAATCATACAGATTCATAAGAAGGAAAAAGATTTGGCACAACTTTGGTTCTTTTCCCTGCAACGATGATCATGCAATATGCACATGGTTTGTATCAGGTCACGTGCACAAAAGCAGGGGGAAACCTTGCAGTGTTTACGACTTCTCTGTCTTTCTCGGTTACTAAGTTCTTTGAGGGCTGCTCCAAGAGGAGCAACGTGACGTGCCACGTGGCAGCTCAATGCCCAGCTTGAGGAGATAGCTCTAAGTATTCCTCACCTGTATCCCATTTAAGGACTCAGACTTTGAATGCTCAACTTACTTAATTCATGTACTTGTGGCCTGTTTATGAAACCATAAAAGCAGAACGACACAATAAAATATGGTCGCAATGCAGTTTGACAAGACTAAAACTGAATGTAAATGCCACTCAAAGCCCAAATATAAGTATTAGATTTTCAGAATAAGTCTAATAGATATCTGTATGGAAACATGGCTATGTTAGATTACAGTCTTCTAGAAAGCGTACTGTTTAGTTAAGCTGAGTGATTAGAAGTTGTATGTGGACATAAATCCAGCTGAAAATATATTTACTCAGAATATGCAAATAAACAAACAGAAATTAACACACAAGTGTGCCTTTAACTTTGGTTCTCAATCCACCAATACATATTTCTACACCAGGCATTAATATTTTGTAAAACTTTTTTTCAAACTAAAAATACACAAACCTACTGTATCTCAGAAAACAATCATCTTAGACAAAACAGGACTCTAGGATATGCTTCTCTAAAGCTAGCAAAGGAATCACATTACCATAGAACAGACAGGAAGTCAGCTTTTCCACAGCGGACAGATTTAGATTTATCAAAGCCCTTTGATAAGCTTGGACTTAAAATAGATTGAATTCCATTATTTAGCAATACTCTTGAATTCTGAGATGAAAAAAACTTTCTCTACCTGAGGACCTACTTTAGCTGGCAAAATTAGAAGGCTCTTCTTCACAATATGCAATAGGAGTGGATCCACAGAACAAAACATTTTGTCCTTAAAACCCGATGTCCATGCTATTTGTATTTTGGGGTTTTACTTAGAGCTATTTTAATCTAGTCCCATGGCCTGAACACCTATTCACAATCAGAGCACATGGCTATTTTCCCCCCATTCAAAAGAAATCTAGTTTACATGCGTAAGACTGTTCTGTAATGCAAATTAAAGTGCAGTAAGCACGGACAACTGGCAAATCCATTTCAGAAGCATACACTTCTGGTTTTTTCCCCACTGCCTTCAAAAAGGTGAAATATCCTGTGTCTGTATGTTTAGATCATTCAGAAGCAAGACAGAATGAAAACCTCAGTGAGCATTACACATTAGTCAGCCTCTATCTTGATCCGTTCTTGAACATCCTGAGAGAGTACAGGGACGGTAGCGTATGCAGTAGTAGTAGAAACTTAGCAGTTGATAAGACTTCAGTTGACAGAGCGTATTGATAAGTTACTTGGAGATAAGGAGATCATACTGCAACTTGCCAAAATATACAGCAAACCTTGAGTCCTAGTACCTACTGCAGTTTCCAAGCCATAGAAGACTACTTCTTTCCTAAACTTATCTCATCTAAATAAATTAGCTTGATTAAAACCACAACATATCACAATTAACTAAGCTATAAACAGTGACTTAAAAATTACTACTGATAGGATACCAAAAAAAAAAAAAAGATATTCAAAACCAGAAAAAAAAACTAGAAAAAGAATTAAAATAAAATCCTGACCTTGATGCAATCTATGGATGTTGTAACCATGGAAGCAAAAGATACTCTTTTCCATAGGACAAAAAATAAAGAGAATAAAAGTTTGGTCTTTTGACCTCTTGGTGTGAAGATAAACTTTGTTGTATAATCTCTGCAACTTATGATATTTTATGATGTGCTACAACGCATGCTATTCAGATTCTACAAAATATAGCAGAGACTGCTCTTCATTGTAGGGTTTCCTCAGAAGTTATGATTAATAATAAAATTTAAGGAGAAAATCCTTCTTATCACCAGGAAAATATATGAGTCCTGAAAGGAAGGATCACTCCCATGCAAGCTACAGCGTACACTATCAAGGTTTGCGTACAGCATCATAGTATGGTAGCATAAAATGCAGAGACAGCTTCTTCTTGTTACCTTTAAGTAATTTTCCGCAGCCTGTTTCCTCAGGACAAAGTTTGTTAGAAAAGGGGCACGATTATCCCCAATTTTTATGCATGCTAACACTTATAGCAAGCATTTTTTGACTCCAAAAACTGCAAGCACTTCCAGACTGAATATAGTAGCAGCAAACAGTGCCACATGCTGTGCTTAGTCTGCTTAACATGTGATACCCTAAGAAAGGCCGGTTGGCAAGTATATAGACTGCAATTATCAGCATGTCTTTGCTCCACCACTTACCATCAGAAAGCTAAATGTACATAAAAAAAGAAATAGCTAAGAACTGTTCATCCTTACTCTTGATAGGAGGCAATACAATTGCAATTAAATAATAGAGTTAATTGTATGAAACCAGGTAGCCTGTGTTAATCGATAAGCTTACCTTGGCATACAAACTTCAATTCCTTGGCATCTGTGACAGTGGTTCTTTTATCTGACCTCTTCTTTTCTGTCCGGCGATGGCTACGTCTTTTCTTTGTCTCTCCCCAAAGATTTGACCCACCATGCATGCTTGGGATGTTGAGAATGGCAATTCCTTCCAGAGAAATATTGATTAAGTCTAGCTGAATTCCATCACACTGATTAGCACGGAGAGAAAAACAGTAAGAGAGAGAGGGAGAGAGAAAGCAGTAAAAGAGAAAGAAAAATCAGAATGTTCTACCTACCAGATGTTTTTCTTTAGCAATTCATTGCTCTTAGCACTGGTAATGGTTTATTCAAGGTTTTCACCTAAAATAATATATTTATATCTGGAAAGGAGCTATGAAAGATTCTCATTCAGCAGGCAACACATTATTACTATTCAGCCATTGATTGCTTGATTAAGTGTGGGACCATTTGGTAGAGCAGGTTGTAATTTGATACTTATTCATTGACCCATATGAAACGTATTTGTGGATTCACTGCAGCTATTAGCAGACAAACATTTATACTATAAAAATTGCCATTGTAATAACTGGCAGTTTTTTTGTTGCTTCTTCCAGCTAAATTGCCTATCTCAGGATTGTATAATGATACTTGCCATTCTAATATCTGAGTCTCTTCCACATGAAACTGCATATAAAAGTACTTACACATCATAGAATTTCTGGTTATATTTAATGCATAGCTTCATGAAAAAATGTCTAAGCGGGTCCTGACCACATAGAACAGCACATAGATATTAGCATCAATTCAAAGGCAAAACTGGCACGCTACGTAGGGCTACCCATGCAAGAGAACGGACCTTAACTTATCTAGCCTGTCTGCAGATAAACCACGGCACCTTCTCAGGTGGCAGAAGCCTACAATATTTGCAAACACAGTTCACCTAACATACATTCGGATGAGATGCGCATAGCTTGATGGGATACAGCTAGCCTCCAGTGACTATAATTTGAGTCAGGCAAAATCCTCCTCTCCACTCCCACTCCTTTGGGATCAGAGGAAGCTCCTTACCCACAGAAAACACAGCAAAATACTGAACAGCCTTCACAGAGCAAAAGAGATGCAACTTTGGTTACTGCATTTGGGAATATATTTGAATACGTATGTGGAAGGCAAAGTATCCAGATCTAAGCGAAAGGATTCACATTCTTATACCTCGATGAAAGGTAAATTAGCTTCATGTCTAACAACCTAGCTAAAATATACAGATACCCTGGCAAGTCACACACCTTATGCATAACAGCATTTTTCTAATGCATTAGTTCCTACTCCTACAATGTACAACCTCAGCACTGGAAAGGGTTCTTCAGGCCAGTAGGGGCCCCAGTCATGCATTTAAAATTAAATTTTATTTTGTAATGCCAATATATAATAATCAGGAAGAAAACTGGAACAATAATTAACCATGCTTCAGTAACAGTCCACTGACATCTTGCAGCTTGCTGCTCTGTGGGTCACTGGCACTTTTTCTCTCTGTTTATCTAAGCCTTTATCACAGCTTTAAAGAAGAAAAGGAAAGTACAGCTCACAAATAACTACATATCATTTACTTTGAAACTTACTCAGATCAAAAATCAGAACTATATTATACTGCATATGCCGCATCTTTCTAATTCTTCTAACAACATTATAAATCTAGAGAGATAATAATTTCAATATTAAGGTTTCTGTTTCATATTTGCTCTTCAAGAATTAAATTTTAAACCTGTAGATTATATTCGTATAGAGAAACTTTTACAATGAAAAGACACATCTGGAAAGGAGTCAGCAGTTGTGGCAACAACTGTAATCGAAAGTGTAAGTTTTTAACCACAGTTTTCTTACAATAAAAATGGCATGGTTCTTCACTATTATTTTGGAAGTGAATTCTTTGCTTTTTCCTATCTTTTATATGTATTAAATATTGAGATGATTTATTTCACTAAAAATTCTGCTCGTGTGTATGCTCACTTACTGCTATACATTCTAGATAAACAGATATTAATTTCATAATTAAAAGTAATCTTGTGTAAATACCCTGCAGGCCTCAATGAATCAAACACATACTGTGTGTCAGGCCTCCCACTGTCTTCAAGTGGAATGTACTGGCTGGATAATTAGATAGTACATATTTTTTAACCTTATTTGCATGCATATTATATCTTTTGCACACTGACAAGCAGCAGTAACAACAAAAGTCAGATTACCACAGGGAATTCCCACAAAGAAGTCTTCATTCCTTATAATTTGCAGCCTAAATTAAAATAATTTGATCTTTGACAAGGATGAAATGTCAAGCAGAAGGGGGTCCTCTACAAGCCACGGCCTGTGGCTTCTGAAATCTGCCTAATTTATGTCAGTCACTTCTTAATACATATTTAAGTATTACACGAGAAGGATGATAAATATGCAATCTGACACCTTTGGTATTTCCCTGCTGTTAATTTATAAAGGTCTGGCGTCCCCCAAACTGACTGGAATTATTTAAATAAAAGAAGGGTTGTGAAATAGGATGGTGCAGGGTCTGGCTTCCATTTTCACTCAATATTGAACACAGCAGGTAGTACACTAAGACAATTATTGGACTAAGCCTCACAATCCCACAGTGATGAGTAACTTCCAGAATTAGTAAAGGAGGATTTCTTTTGTTCATACACAGACAAGAAGTTCGCACTACAGGTAGCTTGCACTGTCCTAACACATTCATATGCTACAGCAACAAAATGCAGATGTTGTTCTGCTCCTTTTTTTTGTTTCAGGTAATACAAAGATGTTGCTAAATATAAAAGCACGATTTTAAAATGCGGAGCATGCCTATTTTGGTTAGAAATAAACGGCAGTGCTTCTCGTTCTTTTCTGGGTGACTGGTCTCCGTCCCCTTTTTGGCATTATCTTTTCCACTTCATTCATTACACTGAAAATATTTAGATCTTCTCTAAGTTGAGTACATATCCATGCCCAAAAACAGCTGAAAGGCCTTGTGTCTAAACAAGTGCAATAGTATGCAAGAGAATACAATCTCTTTTCCTCACCCATTAATACCAGGTGGTATCCTATGCTTCTTCTGGGCACGTCATGCTTTACAGCCCTGCAGGTATGTACCATACCATCCCCACTTTTATTGGATCTGTGCCTAGTATCATTAAGTCTACTTCACACACCTTACTTTTTTTGTTTTTTTTAAGTGGAAATAAAGTGCAAACTGGTAATCTGTAAAGTCTTAAGCCTCATTTACTGACACACCATGTTTAAAAAAATGCCCCATTTTTTTCCTTTAAAACTTATGACTATCTCATCACCTTTTTAGATTGCGATTTGGGAAAACATCCCTTATTCTGGATAATATTTTTTCCTATGCTGTTTTCCCAGGTTACCAAATAGGTGACTTTTCCTCTATGTTAAATACAGAATTTAGTAGATGAATTTAGTGTTCTGCATCTCAAACAGAAGAATAAAATATAGGACTTAAGACACATGGATATATATCAGGAAAACCAAGCTTACTTCATTTAGAAATCAAATACATGGCTGAAAAAATAATTGCCCACAGAATGAACAATGGGCTTTGTTCATTCAGTATTTGGGTGTAGAGCGTATGCATTCTGTGTGCATTTTATTCAGAGTGAAATGTGCTGCAATTCATCAAGCTTTCACTTACAGCAACACCCCGAAGCCCCAAGTAAGGGGCAGCAGGTTAAAAACCGGATGAAAATGGCATTACACCAAAGTATTTATAACACAAAAATGAAAAACATTAAATACAAGTATATTGGTAAGCACTGCTTGCTTAAATGTAATTTACTCATAATAATGTCTGTAAATAACTTCCTCCTAACACCTCTTCTGTAAACATTCTGGGAACTATTTCCCACATGATTTGCTTACCTTCCTAATTGTAGGAGTAATGATAATGGCCAGCATAAATGAAGTGAATATTAACAAATATATCTTAAATATTGGCAGTGTAATAATGTTATTGGTAATAATTGTTAATAATAATAAAACTGGAATCAGCAACATCATGAATTTGTATGCATACTCATTTACTTTGGGACGCCAGCAACATTTCATCACCCATCCAATGGTTACAGGCAGATGGTTAAAGAATATCTTATCTTGCTAAGTGTCAAGCTACGTTAAATTTTAGCTGAGTACAAATATTTTCTTAGGAAAGCTTGCTCTTCAATTTTTACTTAATCAAAAGGTATAGTTAACCTGCAGGACATTCAGATCAAATCCAATCAAATCAGGTAAGCATCACTTCCAACAACTAATCAAATATTTTTCAGGCTGTATTTTCAGACCTGTATTTAAACCCAAATGTGTGAAGCACTGTCATGGGAAGCAAAATAAGGTGATTTTTTTTTTTTTTAAAAGAACATACCTAAGTACTTTTCCATTTTAAGAAGAAACATACCAACAGACAAGCAAGTCTCTGGCATCACAGGTCTTACAAATTCAGTCTTGGTATCCTTCTCCTCTATTCTACTGCCATGTCCCTTCAGATCACTTCAGTGCAAACCTTTCAGCAGGCTTTACCAGACTAGTAGCTCTTACTGTACTTTTCAGGCTATCTCATACTACTATATAAATACATGCAATTTCTCATTACTGTTGGAAAAGAAAAGCACCATAATCCTCTTGAGAAACTGTTTCATTATTTAACTTAAATTCTCAGGTTTGTAGCTTCGCTCATTTCACATTTTTCATTTATTTTTAAGTATCAACTCCCCCAAACACTTTACCTAATGTAGCCACTTATTCTACCAGCCATCAAAGTAGAAGTACCACATTATTTTAAAATCCCTTTTTTGTCTGTTACTATCCTGTATCTTTTCAGCTAATATTCAATGTATAATGGAACGATGACTCCTTGTGCAGAGAGAAAAGATAGTTAATGAAGGGGAATGATTCCAAAAAATATATATTCTTTAACCTTTATTCAGGAAAGTAAGTACAATTTTAGGGAATTGAGTTTTAAAGGTTATAAAAACTTGGGAGCTAGAAATAATAAGTTTTTTTTTTTTTTTTTTTTCCTGAAGCAGCTCTCACTCCCTCCAACAGTCTTTCATTTTTCCATCTGACCTAGCCACACTCCCTATTGATTTCTAATGCTATAGTTCACCTCTTGACCTCGTCTACAGTATTAAGACTTCACTAATCATCAAACTGAACTTTGTTCCAGTGTTCAGGGCTACACTACAAATAGACATGATAAAAATAATATTTTGGAATATAGGGTCGAAAGGATGTACACTGCTTTGCCTTATTGGATTCAGGCACTCTGCACCCCTGCTCCCTGCATTTCAGCCAAACAAGTGACATTTCAAGGATAAAGGCAACAATTAGTTTCTTACTTCTATTTCTACAGATTCATGCAGCTTCTTACAGGTGGCTGAGAAAGTTTCCGAAGTGCCAAATTCAAAATACCAAAATTTGTTCTTCATTCTGAAACAAGAAAAAGAAAAAGAAAAAGAAAGATCTTATTCACTATCAATATGTGACAAAAGTGATCATTCTGTCTTCCATTATAAGTAATGGGAAAGGCTTGGGAACATGTGACATCCCATTTGAAATAGATGAGCTCATAATTTTCAAAGCTTAAATGTTGGTGTCAAGTTGTATGATATTCCCTAAAGGGATGACAGGAATGTGTTGAACTGACAGGTTCAAATGTACCTTTGACTTTTCTTTTTCAGTGACTATCAGAATATTTTTTGTCACTTAACCAGTGACTTGCCTCAGAAAAATGTATCAATTTTATTTTGTGTCTTACACCTACTCTAAGTTTTCTAATTCATGCTTAAAATCTCTGTCCCACAGAGTACTGGCATGTACAAGCAGGGCACTCCTCTCATGAAGAAGAGCTAAGATAAAAATATAACTTTTCCTAAGCTTGGTAAGTGGTTATTGTTCATGATGACAGATAAAGACATTCAAAGAAAATAAAATTTCCAGACCTAACGTCCTTCAGGTATTTTGTAGTAGGACAGCTGTACTACTATGTAATTAACCCACAGACACATTTAAAATGGGTGATGGAACTTGTATCTTGAAGTTCATTAATGGATTCTACAGAAAAATAAATCCACATATAAACACTACTAAACTTAAGTTACCATGACAGTGGGCAGAGATTACACTATTTTCTTCTTAAATAGATTAAGGCTGCATTTCTGTTTTACTAGATTTATTTCATACTGTTAAATACAATCAGGACATCAGTGGTTCCATTTCAGACAACTAAGTGTAGTTTTGTGCAGCTATCAAGAGTTAATTATTATTCCGTAACAGAAAGAGAAGCTAAACTAAAAAAGACACTGAATTAGAATTCATTATTCACACTTAAGAATCAGATATGAACCCAGTGCATCCACTTGTATAAATTATTCTCTGATACAAATATATCACAGTGCGCTTGAACTTGAACATGACTGAGTTTGCTTGAGCTGTAAGCGGAAAAGAGCGAAGTACCGATCTAGATGACCGTCAAACATGCCAGCAATAAATCCTACCTTATTGGAAGGTATTTCAAACTACACATCAAAGTCTACTTAGCAGCTTTTGAAGTCACGGCCGTGCAGAGTGAGCAGGGCCACTGCAGTATTTGCCGCTCCCAGAAACCTACTGGGAAGAGAGCCACAGACTCCTGGTGCGTGACCAGGGGTGCATGAGGGTGTCCAACCCAGCAACCTGCATGAGGCGGGGAACACTGAAATAATAAGAGTGCAATTTCTGAAAAAATGGTGCAACCATTTCCAAGGGCTTTTGCACAGAAATTCTGAAAGCACTTGAAGCAATTTTTGAGAGCTGATTCTGGAGCCAACCTGCTCTGGGATAAATGAGCATACTCTACAAAGAGCCCCAGCAAACAAAAAGGCTCCAATCAGATCCAGCTTCCGTATTGCAAGGGACTGTGAGTGGAAGTGATATCATGTGGATTCCTACTACATCAGCAGATTAGTTAGCAACCTACATGCTCACCTGGGATCAATTGCTCTATTTCTGCCATGAATTTAAAGAAATTCAGAATCCTTTCATTGCCAAACAAGTGCGAACAAAGTACTAAATTCCTGTTGCAGCCCTTTGAAAAATCTGGATGCAGTTGTTTTCCTGTGTCTTTCTACACAGGGAGAATGAATAGTGAAACAATAGGAAAAGTTGACTTAGGAATTCAGAAAAATATTTTGTCACTTCTTTTGATTCCGTTACTGAGTAAGATTAACAAGCCTGTGTATCTCCTCCTTTGAGAGCCTTTTCTCTTGCTATTCAATTATTTTTACAATAAATGAAGCATCATTTCTTTCCTTTCTTGCAAAGCCTGCTTTAAACTGACTTCTCAGCACTACATATAATAAACTCTTTGGCTTGAAGAGAGCTAAAATAGACAGATATATTTTAAGGTCATTCAGAATATAGCGCATCAAATTCATTCAGTCATTTGACAGTGCACTCTAGGTTTACTAGAAAATTCAGATCAATAAATAAACACTTATAGAATTACATGCTAGAATTATATTTATATACATTTATCAGGTGATTTTTTGATTGTAGATTTATTTCTTGTCATTGTGATATACCTGTAAGATTCTATTATGCCCCAAAATGTAGTCTTGTGAGCCTGTTCTCCTTTCCCTAGCTAGAGACGTTGTCTGAACCTCTCTTGTAAGGACAGAAAGACAACCTACTTGATAACCTTTTCAGTACAAATAGATATAAATAACTTTATTCTTCATTTTCGAAAGGATCAACAACTCCCTTTACCAGCCATGAAACAGATTACATGTTTTTGTTCAAATACATAAATATCATTTATAGAACAGCAAATTATTTGATCCTTTCTTATACATAAAAACAAAGCTAAAGGCAAAGAAATGATTACAGAGAAGAAATGAATACAAAGCATATAAACTTTCCATAAGCAAGACAATCTTATCTTTATACTAAAACTTCTGCTTTGTATAACAGACAAAAACTTCTCTAAATTCATATCTTTCACTTGTGCTACTCTTTCAAATAGGTGAAGCTTATCTACCTCATCAATGACAGCAGCAAATAGGGGAGCAGTCCATTTAGAAGATTAACAAATTTTTCTCATTGCCATTCTCATTTCTTTCACAATGGTGTAAGTAAATTTTAGACTGGTAAACAAATGCATATTTAACGATAATTTTGCAACAGTAAACCTGAAAGAAACTGAATCATGGGCTATTGTCATTGTATTTTTCTCCTGCTAGACTAGCTGATAACTTAGAATTGTTTCAACATTTAATAAGAGATAATCAAAATAAAGATGAAGCCCATTCCAGGAAAAACAAAAAACCACATACCACTATACAACAGCACTTTTCTTTACAATACTGCTTTTGCTAGAATAGGAAAGGGAAAGTGGGAAAGTGTTTATTTTGTGGGAAAGTGTTTTTGCATATGCTTCAAAGTACATACCTAAATTCTTAACAAGACTTCTTGATTGAAAGTACAATATAAATAAAAGATGAATCCAACCCTGTGTAACGCTGCTATTGGATTACAGTATGCCAAGATACAAACAGATGTAGGAATGACTAAAAAAAGTGTACTTCAAGAGGGTAAGTACTTGCTTTGGCGGTCGTGTTCCACACCAGTTGGCTAACCACCATTGGCTAACTTTCTGATAAGAGGATTGATCTTCTCGAACAGGGATTAAACAAATTGGCAATACAGCATGAAAAGGCTAGTACTGCCATTTTGTATAAATCTTGCTGTACTGTGGATAAATATTAGACTTCCTCTCTGTTTACTGAACACAACTGTTACACTTCGTTAACTAAAAAAAGTAGAGACAACTGTTTTCAATAAGTAATCAAAAAAGTTTGGTTAGAGTGAATATTTCTCAGAAAAAGTTCAGGCTAATATTTGGTAATCAAGACAAAATAATCAAAATAGTCTCTGATATAGGTTTGCTCTATTATCAGTTAATCAGAAACCCCCCTACTGCTAAAACTATTTTATATAACCTTTCTGATTAAGCAATTACAAGGCATATCATTGAAAAATTGTCCTGTATCTAAATATGGAAATGGTAAATACTTTATTCTACATCTGAAGAGCATATACACTTCATTACAGTTGCACACTCTGTCAGAACATGCATAACAATAGACCAGCAATAGGCTACTAACAAAAAGAGGTCAGAAAATAAAAAAGGATATCTTTAAACTTGAGTAGCAAATTCATACTCTGGCTTTAAAGGAGAACAGGTTTAGGCAATCATTTATTTTTAATTTTACAGGTTTAATATACTTTCCATTGCATTTTATTTATATTTCTTATTCTTATATTTCTCATTTATATTTATATTAGATTTCTTTACATTCTATTTTAATTATGCAGTGTAAAGCATCAGTGATTTGGAATAAAAATTTCTACATCAGGAAATTTCTGATTCCCCTTTTTATAAACATTTAAGCTGAAATATTTTGATCATTTTTGAAAATGACACTGAGGAAAACCATGTTTTTTTGCTTATAATAAGTGTGTTTGAGATGAGATTTTAAATTCAGTACAAGAAGAGCCTTGCATAAAGAATATGCGTCTGGCCACCTGTAGGAAAACACATACCGAGTTTCACCATATCATGATCATTTGGGAAAGAGTTCTGGGAAAACTTTACTTTGAATTTTCTCACATGGCAGAGAAAGAACACAGTTATCTCTAGTTATATCAAGCCAACACCGTTAATTCTTTCACCTACACAAGCTATAGAGATTTTTATCCAAGCAACTACTTTGTCTCCTCCATAAACCATACTGGTCCCCAAAATATAATCCCTAAACTCTATCTGCTCAAAAGCTGCTCTTTTCTTAGCAATGTCAGTTGATGCATTGCAGAAGGATCGTTTTTTTGTCAGTGAGTGTCAAGAGTTGGTCTCAGGCTATATCATAAACTCTTATACATTTCCAATATAGAGCTGCCCTTCTAAGAGCAATGTTCATGAACAACAGCATTCAGAATATAATGCACTTTAAAAAAGAAAAAAGAGAGACTTTTTTTTTTTCCACAGGGGAAAAAAAGAGTGGGAAAGGAGAGCCCCACAGAGTGGGTGCTGCTTATCTCATTCACATTTCTGGAAGATGCTCAGATGCCACATGCTTCAGTGCATGTATGTGAAAGGAACACATCTCTCTGGCTCCCTTGTTCTGTCTTTCGTCCTCTGGTCCAAGGACACATGGAATAACTTGTAGGAGAACTACTGCAGGGAATCAAAAATGCCAGAGAAATGTGAACAAGTGGAGGTAGGAGACAAGAGAGATGCATTTCCACAGTAGAGAGATGTCCAAGGGCAGAAAGTGGTTGAGAAGTGCATGTGAAAAAATGGAGATCATCATCAGGAAAAAAAAAAAAGAGGACTCAAAGAGAGAGAAGAATAAGAAAAAGATAGGAACCTAATTTCAAAATGTATTGAACTT